CCTGAAGACCCCCGGACCCGACCTCACCACGTTCAACCACCGCACAACATCAACCGAGTAGCCCACAGCAACTCCCGCCACACCTGAACCTTCCCTCTCTCCACCCCGCACAGCAAAACCTCAACTTTGGCCACCAACCAACCAACAGATGCGCCCCAACACCTCGGAAGGTACGAATTAGGAAGTCCTGGCGAGACCCGACGACGGAGACCAAAGCGGAGCAAGCAAACGAACGGATGGCGCTGCACCGAACAAATGCAAAACAAGCTGTAGAAGCCCACGTACCCCGTAGCGCTCAGCGGCCAGCTATGGCCAAAGCCCTCCCCCTCTCTCCCTCCCTCTCCCTCTCCCCCTCTCCCCCTCTCCTTCCCTCTCCCTCACMCCTCCTAACACGTTCGCCACCCCCCATGCACCACAGCAGTGCACTAAACCTCCACCACCCGAAACCACGACAACGCAACRAAGAAGAAGCCCAGAAATAGGTGGATCTCCCCCGTCCTCCCAACTCCCGCCTGAACCATTGACGACCACGCCCGATCTGTGAGATCCGGCCAGCGACAACCAAACTCCTCACCACAGCGCCTTCACGAATAAGCCTCCCTCGCCCAGCCCGCTCTAATATACAACATCCTGAACACACCCCACGGGCGATCCACTGCAGCCTACGTCCAAGACACGACCGGCAGGCTCCCGCATTCCCGCCCCCTAGCAAAACCCCGTCGATCGTCCGCCAAACGTCAACACCGCTACCCTTGCTACAGTCGGCAAACAGCACGACCAACAGCTATCCCCACGAGTAAGACCAGGGGCCCTGGCTACACGTACCTAGCACCGGTATCACAACCCCAGAAACGGAGYACGCGCAAGAGCTATCCGCATGGCCTGATAGCTATCCCCATGGCCCAACAGCACCAGCGACAGCTATCCCCATGGGTGCACAACACGCGGGCAGGGTACACCTACTTAAAAGATATTAAACAGTATTTATATTTATATCCATTTATCCTATATTCCATTCACAATTTATATCCCCCATATCATATATTACATTATACTACATACACAACAACCATGATATATACATATACATATATGTACACCCTCCTCGCATCATTGAGTATCCACTGTACTCGACCACAAATACATGCATTATACATATACCACAACATATAGCCAAAAAATACACATATTTATACATATACACAATACAGCATCCGATATCGCACACTGCAGCCGGCATATATCCAAAACACCGACAAATAAAAACACCAAAAAAAAAAAAAAAAAAAAACAGAAAAAAAAAACACAAAGAAAAAAGAAAGGAAAGAAAAAAGAAAGGAAAGAAAACAAAGAAGGAAAGGGCGTCGCCAAGAAGGTTGACAAAAAGAGCCTCGTTCGGTTCGCACCTTTTCAAAAAGCGTCCTTCAATCTGCACCTTGTCAACACGACACCCCCATACCCATCGTGAAAAAAAAAAACACAGCCCGCTCGATGCTGTGGATATCACGCCAAGGCCACCCAGATGACACCGCCACCATCTCCAGTCGTCAAGACCAACCTGCACAGCCTCAATAATCACGTGAGAACGCCCAGCGCGACCTTCGGACACCAGGTGGCGCACCTACGAGCATTCCTCCGGACGGGCTCGAGCCCCCGATGCCCCTATAAGGGGCCCCACTGCCTCTCACATGACAATCCCCTGCATATACAACCATACAACCATCCACCATACACCTCCACCCGCCCGCTCCCCTTTTTAATCTTTTTGTCCTTTTTTTTTTTTTTCACAGCCACTCACCGTCAGACATTCCCTGAAATTTCGCAAGCTCGGAGCAGTCTTGCAGCACGTCCGCACTGCAATCATGATACGAAGCCCAACGAAACGTACACACACGAAGCAAAATCGAAACGGAACGCCCATATCGTTCCACGAGCTTTCTTCTGCTTCCTATTTCCTTTTTTTTTTTTTTTTTTTTTTTCCCTTATTTCTCTTCGTGCTACACACACAGCTTCAGGACCGGCGCTCCACTCGCTACACGTCAGGCGCAGCTGGTAAGCCTTCTGCCTTCAGCGGCACCGTCGCAGCCACCGACCATCACACGAATACCCAACCACCAACCCACCTCGAGCACCGAAGCAGTGACCCCTGACCCAGCCCGAGCTCCCCCCCACCTACTCACCCCAACCACCCGCCCACTGATCTACCGAGCCACCCACAGCACCGAGCCAGCCCGAGCACCCCCCCACTGACTCACCCCAACCACCCGCCCACCGGCCTACCAAGCCACCCACAACACCGACCCACCGACCCAGCCCGAGCACCCCCCCAGCAACTCACCCCAACCACCGGCCTACTGGCCCACCGAGCCACCCACAGCACCGACCCACCGACCCAGCCCGAGCACCCCCCGACCCACTCACCCCAACCACCGCCCCACCGGCCCACCGAGCCAACCCCGGCACCCCGCCACCGACACACCAACCCAACCCCAACACCCACCCACCGACCCCACCGTGCTGGGGCTGGGTCGGTGGGTCGGTGCTGTGGCTGGCTCGGTAGGCGGGTGGGCCGCTGCTTGGGGAGAGTAGGTGATGGGGTGCTCGGGCTGGGTTGGTGGGTCGGTGCTGTGGGTGGCTCGGTAGGGTGGCTCGGTAGGCGGGTAGGCCGGTGCTTGGGGTGAGTAGGTGGTGGGTTGCTAGGGCTGGGTCGATGGGTCGGTGCTGTGGGTGGCTCGGTAGGCGGGTAGCCCGCTGCTTGGGGTGAGTAGGTGGTGGGGTGCTCGGTCTGGGTCGGTGGGTCGGTGCTGTGGGTGGCTCGGTAGGC